GTGGCAAGGTACTTATTTAATGGCAAGGTACTTTACTTAGTGGCAAGGTACTTTACTAAATGGCAAGGTACTTATTTAGTGGCAAGGTACTTTATTTAATGACAAGGTACTTATTTAGTGGCAAGGTACTTATTTAGTAGCAAGGTACTTTACTTAGTGGCAAGGTACTTTACTTAGTGGCAAGGTACTTTATTTAGTGGCAAGGTACTTTATTTAGTGGCAAGGTACTTTATTTAGTGGCAAGGTACTTTATTTAATGGCAAGATACTTTACTTAGTGGCAGGGTACTTATTTAGTGGCAAGGTACTTATTTAATGGCAAGATACTTTACTTAGTGGCAAGGTACTTATTTAGTGGCAAGGTACTTATTTAGTGGCAAGGTACTTATTTAGTGGCAAGGTACTTTACTTAGTGGCAAGGTACTTATTTAGTGGCATGGTACTTATTTAGTAGCAAGGTTCTTTCGGAACATGTTAATTCTTCCTTGTTTTATAAGAGAAACTGTATAAAGGATAAAAATTAGATCCAAAGATAAGAAAATGAGGTTATGTAATGAAAAGTAAAGTATAGCCAGTTTCTGTATATAAAAAAAAAGTACAGTTTTAAATCAGTGCCATCACCACTGATATTTTTGTATGCTATTGCCATCTGAAAAAGTGATAAATTTCTTATGGAAGATTTTAAAGCAAGCAGATGAATTAATCTTGAGTTATTGTTTAAGTAAAGTTTAGAAAACAACAATTTACTGTATTCGTGTAGTAATAATATCCAGTTTGAAACAAAATGATAGCAGGGAATGAAAAAGTACAACTCCTGCTCTTTGGATATATGTGTTATAATATTTATGACTTCTGTACTGTGTTTATATACTTAATTATGTTTCTTCAAACATCAAACCTGTAATTTTTTTTTATGGATTTTCCTAGCTCAAAAAAAAACAAACAAAAAATGCAAATATTTCAGATCAAAATTCTTTTTATGTGTATCTATAAAGGACAAAGGAAGTGATTAGTGAATGGTACTTTTAAGTCAATGATTGTTGTTATTAGTTTTCAAACAAATGGAGATAATTATCTCAATGCACCGAAATACTGATAACCTGTATTTTAATGAAAGAAAAGCAGGCTAAATTCTAAATCGTATGTTTTTTTTACGAGTGCAGAGTTTAACTTAACACTCTCACTATGCTTATGCATTCTAATAATAATAATAAAATTCTCCTTCCCTTACCCTTCAATATTTAAGAAACAGACGACATAGAGAAAAAGACTGCCTAGTATTTTTCCTCCCTGTAATAAAATAGTATTATGACTAGAATATAACAGCTTCTATTACAGTCTGGGCAGCTTTTATTACAGTCTGGGCAGCTTTTATTACAGTCTGGGAAACAGTGTGTAAATTTTGCTTCAGAGATTTCTTCCATACCTGAACTCGAAGATTTCCAAGTTTGATTTAAAAAGTACACAAAACTATTTTAAGCAGCACATAGTTTATTTAAATACTGGTCCCGTATTTAAAAATATCACATTAAAGCAATATACAGGATGCTCCAAAATAAAGAGGAGATTAATTGAAATGAATTATTACAATATTGAAGTAAATTCTTAAACAACTGACTTGACTTGAAAAACTGTCTTGCATATTTAGTGGTTAAAAATGTATAGCAAACAAAAGTATAAAATAGATAATGAAAAATTGATTCACTATTGAAAAAAAAAAGTTTTTGTGATGATAAGATGGTAATTTTTTTCTATGGTAAAATTTTCTCATTTTATTTACTGATTTTGCTAGTAGCATATGATTGACTGATCATCAAACTTTTAAAGTACCTTATCCTGTTATCTTATAAACACATGTAACTGAGCTTGAGAACTGAATCGCTAAAGTCGATCTTGGTGTGTAGGACTAGTCATTCTTAACTGACAACAGGGATAATACTTCTCACAGATTTTACCTGTTCAATTTTAACTTTTTCCAAAATAGTGAAAATATCCAAAAATCAAATTTAGCTTGTTAAGTTTCATGGAAAAGAAAAAAAAATTGAACTTGCAAAATGGGGACTTGACCATAAGTACTTAAAGTTGGAGAGAGAGAGATGGTCTCCAGGGGTATATTTTTTAACAAATTACTACTAATTTGAACCTTGTAATTTCATTACAAGTGTACTATTAACAATTTTAACCAATCACTGTTTCTCAGTCTTGGTTGTCATGGTTGTGATGTAATTGCCAACATTTCAGCTGTGAGAAGTCCTAGGTTTGTGATCTAAATATGTAATGAAAGTTCTTTTTCTGTTTTTAAGCTTATAAGCTCCTTTGGTGGTGCTTATTTAGTATAAATGAATCACGTTATAATGAAAAAAGGTTTCTTGCATTGCCAATCAAAGTAAACTTTACGTAACACATTGCCAAAAGTTGGCTACACCAGTTTATCACTTTATGAGATTATAAAGTTTAACTGGTGCAAGGTTTACAGATAAATCACACAGGATTTTGAGATCATTGTTAAGTTAATAGTAGAGATTGTAAGTATTTTCTTTTTGCTTTTCTTAGGATGAAAACTTAGTGGAAAGAGCTCCATTTATCCCCATGTCTAATGGAGATGATTGTCCACTTCTGAGTCCCCCTGATACTGTAATGTGGGGTCCTCAAGAATACCCCCGTAGGAGGTCTTTGAGTCATAGGTAATGAAATCTTAACACTTCTTCAAAGAATGTTGTTGATTTTTTGGTGATATTTCTCTTAACAAGAATAAACTGTTAAAAAAAAATGCATTTTTGTGTTAGCTAAATTGCCTATATATGTCCAGAGCTGATAACATTGACTATTGATCTTAATTTTATGGTGTTACACCTATGTTGAGTTGTTATTTTTTCATGAAAATCACAATTTTTGAACATAAACAACCTTCAAGAACCATTAGTTTTTAAATTGGAATATGAAATTTTTGTGGGTAAAATTCATCACATTGCTTACTATTCAGCTATTTCCTTTATTGACTGTATTTGTGTTTACAGAAGGAAGTTAATAACACTATGAGAAGAAGTAGCAGTAAAGTCATTGCTTTTTACAGTGTTACTTAAAGAAAATAATACTATGGATGATCTGTGGTGTATTAAGTTATTTTTGAACATTTCTTTATATCTTTCTTAACTCTCCGAGTTCAGGTGGGGGCCAAAATGTACATGACACAACCTTGTAAAAAGTGCTACTCAACATGTTATTATGAATTATATCAGTTATCAGCTTTTTATTTTACCCTAAATTACTAATATCATGACAGATTGTGTTAGAACAGAGAAAATGTCAGATACGATATCGGATACTGAAAACTGTAGATGTGCATTTAGAAGGTTCTATAGCAGCGGTTCCCAACCTTTTCACCACCAAGGACCCCCTTTTATTATTATTTTTTTTCCCATTGACCTCATGTTTTTTGAAAGATTCGGTCTACCCAATTAACTTGTTTTTCCATTTTTCACTATCAAATAAAAGATGTATATAACTGAATGTGCAATCAAAAGAACAGCAGAATTAAGAAACTTGCTTGTTTAATGAGATGGTATTATCTTTGCAGACCCCCAGGGGTCTGGGAACCACAGGTTGGGGATCACTGTTTTAGAAGTTATTCTTATGCAGTATACAAACTGTAATGAAAAAAAATATTTTTATTCTTTACATGACCATCATCTTGCATTCCATCTTACCAGAGTCCAAGTTGGACTGACTTCATCACTTCACAGACATATATTTAGTATTACCACATTTGATTTTTTGTGTACAACAAGTTGACTGTTTACTAAAAAATGGTCATAGTTTGTGAAGATACACATAGTAACTTCAGAATTATAGTCAATATTACTTCTTCAGTAAAGGGTCATTTTATTGGACTGACCGTGTGCACATTTGGTTAATTTATTATTTTCAAAGTCTCCTGGTTGGTCAGTAGTAAGTTTTTAGATTTAAAATCAGGGTTTAATTTCCCATTGTGGATGGAGCGAAGATAGCCTATTATGTAGTTTTATGCTAAAAACAACAAACAAACCTTTCTTTTGGCAGATAAACTGAGTAGCTTTTCCTCAAATACAAGTTATTTTATTAAATATGAACTTATATTGTATATGTAATTGTCTTTTTTGAATGATTGAACAATTTTCAAGTTATTTTTTAAATATGAACTTATATTGTATATGTAACTGTCTTTTTTCAATGATTGAACAAAGTTAATTATATACAGTTCTCTGAATCATATTTATTTTTAATGTTACAGCCCTTCTCGTCCTGTTATTGACTTGGAAGAATCTTCATCCTCCTCAGGGCTCTCCCCAACCTCTAGTAGATCATCCTTATCTCCGGTGCTGCAGTCCTCCAACTTTAAACAGTATTCTCGAAGTCGTAGAGATAGGTCAACGTTACAAGTGGATCGGAAACATGCTAATATACGAGCTTTGACAAGTCGTAGCCTGTCACCAACTCTTACTGATCACGGAGGAGGGACGAAACGTGTTGCATTGACTGTTCACAAACGTATGACTAACGGTGGTAAAGTTATTGTGCTAGAAAATATGGCTAAACCTCGAGTAATAGCCAACAAAAGCAAAAGTGCTTATGTTAGCAGTAGTGGTGAGCAGTTGACTCTGTTAGAGCATGTTTCTAAGCCTTGGGTGGTAGCCAGCAAATGCAAAAGTCTAAGTTTTGGTGGAAAGGGAAAACAGTTGACTGTGCCCAAAGTTTGTGTTACTTTAGCTAATGGGTTACCTGTTTCAGAAGAGCCCAAAGAGCAAATTATTGTACCAAAGGATGTTTGCTTTAAAAGAACTGGTGATACCGATCAAACACCCGTGATCAATGAGAAGAAAATGAGACTTGAAAATGGACAAGAAATAAGTAAGTTTTTAATGAGAGTTACAAACGAGTTATCTTGCTTCGCACGACTACTTTTACTACACATTTAAATGTAGGGCCACAAACAGTTCGGATTAGATTTTAACTAAAAATATAACTAGTTTCTTTGATAAGGAATATTTACACTTTAAACTGTGGCTGTTTATCAATTTCCTGATTTATGTTTCATAGAAATCTTATCAGCATAAGTTTCTCTAACAAAATTACTCCTATTCTCGTTGCTGTTAGCAAAGTCTAACTTAAAATAAAGTTCAATGAAAGTACGGGTAAAAAATGCATAGTTCCTCAATATTGAAAGTCAGTTTTCCAATACATTCTTTCAAATATTGAAGATGTTATTTTTGTTTTCTGAGATCTCGGCTTGTGTCTCTATATCTGTTGATTATATAATTGTGATTATGATAACGTGTATTAATTTTATAGATTTGTATAGATGAATAGGAAATGTTATGCCACCAAGTTCTGTAGTACACTAATAATATATTAAAATAATTTTCTGGTCCTCACAGTAGGGAAGAAGAACCATATTTTGTATTTTAAACTTGAAACTTGCTCCATAATATTTTTGGAACAGTAATAGAAATAAGATTAATTAATGGTGTTAATGGAGATTGTGTACATGGTATTAGCAGAAGTATGAAATTTTTTTGGGGGGATTAGAAGTTACGTGAAAGTAGTCTTTTTTTTTGCATGCATTTTACAATTGTGAAGCAAATTTTATCTCTTTACAAGTTTCAGTGAAATTATTGCAGCGAGCTAAGATTACTGCATGATACAAATTTATATGTACGTGTATGTGTAACTGGTAGTTTTATACATATTTATAAACTAGAGTTTAAGGAATGTATTCCTCAGAATCTGGGTTTTAATGTTGTACTTTGAAGAAAAGTGACTTTTTGATGAAGTTGTAATGAATCTTATCCACATGGTTGCAGTCAACAGGATAGATAAACTCACAATAGTGTGAACCCTAATAAAGCAATAATTTTGCAAATTGATGCTGAAGAAAATCCATATAGATGAAACTTTCAAGTAACATATAATTAATTTCTGTAGCTTGTAGCAGCTGATAATTCATGACGATGTCCATCTAGAACAATGGTTCCCAGCGGTTAATCCACGGGGAGCTGGTCTGCAAGACGTTTGAAAAAATGTCTATTTTAAAATATAGCTACTGAAATATATTGTTCTACAATGTAATATAAAAGATTTTAAAAAGATAATATTGTACAAAGTGATCTGTGAAATTTTGGTATCAGAAATAGCTGGGCCTCGGGTGGAAGAAAGTTGAGAACTACTGATTTAGAACATAAGTCACACTTTTCTTCCAGCAAAACATTCACAGCAATGTTGCTATGACTTTTATTCAGTTACAACCAATAATCAGTACAAGTTTCAAAATGCTTTAATAAGACTGGAGGTAAGGTTGAATCTGTAGTGAAAATTGTTTAAAAACAATAACTCTAGATAGTAGCAACAGAATTAAAATAAAGACATGAAAGTGATTTAGCCAAAATGTATTCAGTGAGGCTTCAGCCAAGATGTACAGCTGCTAGATAGTAAGTGACCTTTTTGCACTGCTTATCTTTTATACTTTGACCTAAGCCTATGGGTTATCTTTTGTCAGATGAAACAGTGACTGAAAAGAAAAACTATGTAGACACCAAAAAATTAGGTGAAATAGCTGGATATGCCAATACAAAAAAGTGGATGAACATTCGTAACATAAAACTTAGATAAGTCAAATGAAGCTTTAAATAATCAAATAATCATGCATTTAAGCAAAAAGATTATCAAGATTATTTTTCTTAAAAATGTTTCGCAGATTGTCTGTTTGAAACTGTGAAACAATTATGGCGTCTCGCAACCTAGCTGCTTATTCATGTATAGAATTTTACAGTCATCTGCACCTCAGTGTGCATGGTTTACACTTACTCAGTAAAATAACACATGCTTTGAAAATTATTTACGAAGAACTTACCAAAGTTCATTGATGATATGAAATTATGTGTGTAAATATGAATATATTTCAAGAATTTATCCTACAAACTGTAGTTAGTTACAAATAATGAGTTTTAGCTCATGGATGAGTCCTGTGTGTAGTGTACTATTGAATTTTACAGTGTATGTTGAATATTATCACCAAGTTATATAGTATTTATATTCTTTCCTTGGCTAATTAAACTTCCATTTTACCTGCAAATGAAAATTCTTCTTGTATTGCAAATCAGGGGAAAAAACCTCTCTCCCAGTCACAAAATAGAACTTAAAAGACAGATGCATTAAAACTTTCAGTCATACAGATTTTCTTGTGAATGTTACACATAACATTCACTAATTACTTCTAGGAAAAATCTAGTTTTAAGAAAGATGAAAAGAACCTTAATTGAGTTAGAAGACACGATGATATTATATGTATACTTTTCCATTGAGAGTACTTTGTGGCTAAAATTTGACAATAATTATGGTTTGTAGTCAAAAATATATTTCTCTGGAAGATGTAAATGACTAAAAGAATAAGGATATACAATAGCATCCTTTGCTTCTGAGATTTTTGTTGGCTAAGAAGTAACATCTTAGTACAGCTACAACAGAAAATTAATTTATTTTTGTACATACATTAGTATACTGTGTTAACAAAAGCTTAAACAATGAAGATATGAGAGCAGGCTTAAAAATATTTTTGTTTGTTGTAACCCTAAACTGATTTTAAATGTGTGTAGGTAGGTAATTATTATTTAATTGATTGGCAAAAAAAACTTTCGGAAATACCACTAGTTCCATTATCACCTAAAACATAATGCGTTAAACCATGAATACAATTAATATCAACATCTGTTATATGAAGAGAGTTACAGAAATTTCAAATTATTTCACAACACCTTCTTTCGCTGGTCAGTATATAAACCTCAATCGAAGAAATTGAATTGATTGTTGCTGACAATTTTATAGTTCTTCTGTTTCGTCTCGTTCACCAAGTAAATGTACAGGTACTTCCCTCCGCATGGATAAAATTCCAATCAGAATTAATTTGTTTTGATCCTAGTCCTCATTCTGCAAAAACATTCCTCAGAGATGGATACACTAAACAGATTTTTATTCACCATGTTGTTGATGTCTGCTCGTCAATAGTAAATTCTCCCCTGCTAGGTCGTGTATTTATTAGTATAGCGTGAAGGGTCGTGGGAATAAGATAAGCCATGTTGTAAAACCTTAATGCATTGGCCAATCAGCACTGAGTTGTCAATTGGTAATCAGATGATGCCCTCCCACATTGTCACGGGCTACGTGAATGTCTGAGAGAAAATATTCTAACCATAATGTGACGATAAAAGATTTTAAAGTTGGTTAATTTTGTTAGATGGCTCAGTATTTTGGCAGAAATTGGTGAAAATAAAAATTTTCCATGACATAATGTCAAAAAATCTCTCAATTGGCCCCAATTTTAGATGGTCAGTCGAGTTACAGCAAGCAAATATTTTCAAGCCTCACTTTATTGGTGCTATTCAAGATTTGTTTTGTTTTCAGGAACTATTAAGAATCTTATTGTGATAAGTATTAAACTAATATATGCAATAACATCCATTAGCAGTTGGTTAAATATCTCTAAGCCCAAAAATTTTTGTAAAATTAAGAACTGAATTGTTTTTGTTGGGAAGTTTGTATATTTGTGTGTTTATATATAAAAATGGCATGTTGTAATACCCATAGTAATAATGCCTCGGCACATATTTTTTTAATTTGGAAGTATATATATGTTTATGATGATGATGTAGTATTATGGGATTTTGTATGAAAACATTTTATTGTTTTAGGGCTGGGAAACTATTGGAACTTGCTAAATAATCAGTCATCAGGCATGTTAACTGATTACCTTAAAAAAAATTCATTATTCTTTTATGAGATGGCAAAAAATACACTAAAGAATAGTGTTAAAAATCAGGTTTCGATACCCACTGTTGGAAGTACATGAATAGCTCATTATTTAGCATTGTACTTAACAAAAAAAACAAACATAATGGCAATATTTCAATTATTTGGATAGCTGAAATAATCAAAAACCTTAATTTTGATAAGTTGATTATTTTTGTGAGTCTTACTGCGCTAGTTGTTTACGTTGAACTAACTTGAATAAATTTAAAATAGTAAAGAAGAATCATAATAACATTTTAATTACTGGATAGTTGGAATAATTAAGAACTAATTTCAATTAGTTGTTTATTTTCCTCATATTAATCATTTTCATTGCAATTTTGATTGCTGAATAGATGGAATAATTGAAAACACTAGTAGATTATTTTTGTGACAGTAATCAGTTTAAACATAATTTCAATTAATGATTATTTTACATAACACTAACCAATGTAATCGAGTTAGTCACCCAGCTCTACATTGTTTATTATGTATTTATATATGCATTCTATGTAGTTTAAATTTTATTAAAGATCTGGCCCAAGCATGTAGTATATTATCAGTAAGGGAGTCCCAGAGAACTATAGTTCTCGGCCACAAAAGTGTTGGAGTGTGAAGTCGCAGTTGTGAACATATAAATCTTCCATAATCAAAATACTAAATAATCAAACAACAAATGAAAAAGTCTACAGTACTATAACATTCTGAGTTTGCACTTTTTATTTCAAGGCAAATAGTTGTAAATTGACTATAAGAATATTGCTAAACATTCTTTTGCCATTTAGCAGTCACCAGTGGACGAATTTTAGCACCAAAAACAGAGCGTCAGCAAGTGGGTGCTTGCCCAGTATGAGTCAATCATATATCAAACAATAGCTCTCTTCATACTCTTCATTGTTCTGGGTGTTTTTTGTTTTTTTTTTTGTGTGTGTGTGTGTAAGTGAAAGGATTTTGAATTTGAAAACACACAAACAAAACTTTAAAACCATTAATAAATACCTATTAGTCATTGAATTTGATAAAACAAAACCATACATATGATAACATGTAAAAAAAAGATGAATTGGAACTGTAAGCTAGCGATACGTTTCCTTGACAATAGTTAGCTTTACGTCATAATAGACTGTCAATAATGAAACCAGTTGAATACAAAAGCTCTCCTTTAATTTAATAGGTAAATATGTAAGTTCATACTTGATTTTTATCATTTGATTGTTGACAGTTTTCATTTCATTTATCAGTATGATATAAATTCATGTGTATAGATTTTAAATTAAAGTATTATTTTATTAGGGTTACGTTTTATATCAAGTTTCACACAATGTCTTAGGTCACCAGGTAAAGCAATTTTATTTGCATTTTTTCAATTAGATATTTGCTTGCTGCAAAAGGTCAATTTACAGTATGATTATTAATTGTTTTTCATTCATTATTAAATTTTAATAATTCAAAGTGCAGTGTAAATGTACTAATTTTTTACTGTGGAATTCAGTGGTATACAACTGTTTGTGTTATTTTCACTATTTGAAATTCAACGAAACCCCCTATTATCAGACACTGTGTTTTATCTAATTTATTATATTTGTACAGATAATTTATTTACTAACTAATGGATGCTAAGAAGAATTTTGGCTTGGTTATTACCAAAACATAGACTGCAAACATGATTTTAAACTCTGGACATTTAACAGAGTTTGTGGTACTAATGGGTTTGTGCGTTTTATTTTAGCCGTGCTACAAAAAAAAAGCTATAGTTGAATGACAAAGAGATTAACTCTTGCCATGCTAAATAAAGTAATAACATATTTGATGGATGATACCCTGGTCATATCTGATACTTTGGTTTGTTTTAGCAGGTGAAGGTCACATTACTCATGCTAGTGTACTTCTTAACTTGTTGGTGAATGGAGAAGATGCCAGCCATGGATATATGTGTGTTAATACTAAAACTGATAGCAAGGTAATTTTTCTGGAAAATATTGAATGTCAGTAGTTAAGAAGATTTTTAATATTAAGTTATACGACAGATTTGTATTACATTTGAATTCTAACCACACAGATCTGTATTACATTTGAATTCTAACCACACAGATCTGTATTACATTTGAATTCTAACCACACAGATCTGAATTACATTTAAATTCTAACCACAAATATCGACACCAGAATTAAGTTATCAGTAGTGTGGAGAATCAGGTTATCATCAGTAGCATACAGAATCGGGTTATCATCAGTAGCATACAGAATCAGGTTATCATCAGTAGCATACAGAATCAGAGTTATCATCAGTAGCATACAGAATCAGAGTTATCATCAGTAGCATACAGAATCAGAGTTATCATCAGTAG